TACGGACATGATTACCTTTCAAATAAAAGGAGATTGCAAATATGACCAGCTTTACATGGCTCCTTGTTTTTCAAACCTGTCATCAAACTCCAGAATTTAGACACTTAATTAAGATGTTAGGATCTGCTTTCATGTTAAGTAGCTGAAAGTTGAGCCTGTAAATTTTTTAGACTTCTTCATACAAATGAATTGATTTTAAAAAAAGCATAGTACATTTAGATGCTCTGGATATTAATGAGATAAGAGGCTGTTTGTACTTCCAAAATCAGGATGGTTTTATCTGGTTTGCAAAGTATTGACATGGGTGCCTAAACCTGGACATTTTTATGAGAAAACTTGCTATCTTTTTCAAATGTTGTCTTAGTTTCATTATATCAAATTGGCATGTCAGATTACTGAATTTAGTATATATACAGGTAAAGTGGGAAAATACCATTTGTTTATTGTTTATTTATTATTCTACCATTCAGAGGAAACAAGGTGGAATCCAACTTAGGAAACAGTAGCTTAAAAATAATGTGGTTATGCTGTTTATACTCTACAGACATCAGTATTAGTTCTTAGACCTTTCGTAGAATTCCTGCAACTGAAGCTGGAGCTACAGCCTTGTCTGAAAGCATGGTTTTACTTCCTCCAGAAATTGAACTACGTTTTTCCATTTCTTTAGGTTCTTCTTTTTTTTTTTCAGTAGACTGCTAAAATGATACAGTAGAGGAAATTAAGAAGTTTATATATGTGGACAGATATTTATAGGCTTAGATGCAGATCAAGAAATAAATCGTTTAAATTGTAAATGAAGTTTATATCTGTAAATCCATAAATATATGATTTACAAAGAAACACTTGATAACATTGTTATAACTCTGATTTTGAAGGCTTCTTAATCAGTAAGAATGATATTAAAAATAATTATGAAAAGGAGAAAACTGATGATTGGAATATATGTGGGTAGTTTTCCTCCATAGAAATACAATAAACTCTTTGGAAAGTGCTGTTTCTTGTAGACTACAGGTGATGTGATATACTTGTTTTCATTTCAATTTTGTGTATTTAAATGAGCCCAAAATAAGGAGATTGTTTAATTGGGGGTTTGATTGGAGGCTGCATGGTGACTTTATAAGCTTCTAGCACAGCAGGCAAATAAAAAGAAAGCACCAAGGCGAGAGCTAGAAAATATGATTTCAGAAATAAACAGACATGGAAGTATCATGTAGACTTAAGGGCAAAATAAAATCCAATGATCAAAATTTGAATGAGAAGCAGCATCTCTGAGTTTTAAGAGGCAGAGAGGAGAAAATATACTTTTGGGCTGAACCCAAGAGTAGTGAGGCAGTAAGTATAGTCAGTAGACAAGGAAGCACTAGAATAGTCCTCACATAAAATGGAAAGCTGCAGACCAAGTTTTAGGGGAAAACAAAGTATTATGGAAACACTGATGTAAGAACTGATACAATTTGGCAGCTTCTTAGATACTAATTTCTAAGACATTGGATTTTAAAGTATCATAAGTTAGGAACAGTGGAACTGATTGCAGAGAATTTTGAGTTTAAAACTGGATGAATAAAATTGAATATATTCAATTTTCACCATACTCAATTTTTTCCTGAGTGATTGGTCCTCCACAGGGAATCAGAGATGAGAGTTTCAGATTGATAGACGGATTTAAAATTATTTTCAGAAACATGATAGGTTGAAGTCAAGGATGAAAAGTAATGGAGGAGGAAGTTGGGCTTGGGAATGTCATCCAAGGAGAATGTGACACCAGCAGGAGAGGTAGGAAACATGGATCCAGAAGTTCTGTGATATATTTGTGATATTGATAACTTTAACAGATTAAAGAGCTAATTAGGAAGAATCCAGAGGCAAGTACAGCAGAGGAAGCAGAATGTTTTACTAGGGTGTTTACAAATGAATGGATAGGACTAGAGAATAAAGAATGTTCAAGGGTGAAGGAAAAGAGAAAGTGAACAAAGGAATAGAAGGATGTGCATGTCACAAACAGAAGGGTTGAATGACATAAGTTTTAGTAAAAAAACATAGCATGAGGGCCATACCAGAAGAGTAGACTGTTCGTGAACAATAATTAGACGCTCTCTTTGTTCAGTGTGGAAGAGACAATTTAGGACAGGCTGATAAAGATACAGGTTGAATTAGAGCTTGAGACAGAAGAGGATGTTCTGGCTTGTCAAGTCTACTAATAGATGCAACAGCATCACCTAATCCTGTTCCATGGGTATGCCGAATGTGATCTTTAAACCAAAGCTCAATTTTGAGATGGAATTGGAAGAATTGAGTGAAGAAGTAGAGGAAGTATGCAGAGTCTGTAGACTTTCATGAGAAGTTCTCAGCAACCTCTCAGTAGAACAGAAAGTAAATGTGTGTGAATTAAGACTTCTTTAGTGGACAGATGATGGAAGCTGAAAATTGAAAGAATCATGCTAAGAGTCATTTTTGAAACTGG